AGGGCCGCCTCTTTTGCCGAGAGGCGCCGCGAAAGCCGGCTGCGTGGGCTGATTTGCTAACCTCAAGAGCGGCGAACCTATCCGTAGTTGTGCCCTCGCGGTCTGGATTCAGGGGCGCGATTCCGCGGATACGCGATTGCACGGAGTTTAGAAAGCAGCAGCAGCAAAGCTGTGAGCCTTTGGGTACTCCACTTCGTGCCACGGGAGCAATGGTGGATCTGGTTCATGTCTACTCACAGAGATCTCGGATCCACCGTCTTGCGCAAGCGTAAAGGATAGCGCTCGCCCTTCTTGCCGCGGCGACACAACTTTCAGCTGCTACTGCTAATCATCCTCTTTGTGTTGGAGTACGCCATAATTCGTGTGGTCCGCATCTAGCGGAGTTCGAATGGATGCTCCATTCTGCGGAAATCTAGTGGTCCTCTTCTTCCTGTATACAGTGGTGTGAGTTCAAGCTTGAGGGGTCAGGTGGATCAGAAGCCACGCCCTTGTTGCGGGCGAGCTCGAACACGCGACACTACGCGTGAGATCAGTCTTTCCCGCCCGCTGCGCGCCGCCTCAGAACATAGACCTGATCCGCCGGTACACCAACCGCACCATAGCTGTCAGCGGCTCCCTGGTGACCATCGCTCTCTTCGGCAGCCTCCTGCTGCCACAGGGGAACCTGCAGGCCTTGCGTCTTGTGGTTGTCGCACGGAGGGCGGGAAGGATCAAATGCTTCCCAGGGGCAAACTTGGAGGAGGAGGAGGAGGTGGGGCGAGCAGAGAGGGCGATGGAGTCCCTCAAGCAGAGGCCGTGGAGACGCTGTTCGCTCAGGCGCTCCATGGGATTGGTGGCGTGCAGATTTTCCGGGACATCAAAGGTACCAATACCGCTACTCCCCAGACCTCTCCCTAGGTGCGCTCTGTGCAGAATTTCGAGGCGGATCCAGCTGTGCGGCGACGAGGGCCCGTCAGGAGGCCCAGGAGGGCGAAAACGACGGCAGTGGTAGCTGTATGGGTACCTTTTTCCGCCTCTGACTTTTAGAGCTGGGGATGCGGTCGGACGCGCTCCCTAGACCCATTACGAGCGCCGTCCTGGCCAGCTCCGAGCCGCGTGCCGCCGTCGTGCGACGGAGGCCCCGGTCCTGATGTGAGCGCGTGAGGCATCTCCTAGCAGGACTGAGCCGAGGCGGGTGTGAGTTTTCCAGTCGCCACTGGTTGAGGACGCAGAGGGACAGACTGGTACGATGTGTCCTCCTTGGAGGCGTGCGTCCGACCCGAACATACAGCACACACATCTTGTAGTATATCGATTCCCGAGCGGCATGGCCAGAATGCTCCCTCCATGGAGCTGATACTACACGATTCCTCGGCGCTCGGGTGGCCCCTGGGGGAGCGACGCAGACATAGCGGCAGTATGCCCATGATTCGCGATCTCAGGCAAGCAAGACGTGATACTGTACCGTTTTTTCTTGTCTACTGTCTCGCCGATCGGCGCGGGCCCCCGCCCCCCCTCCCCCCTTGAACGAAGGATTGCAAAAAACGAGCGAAGGATTGCAAAAACACCGAACGAAGGATTGCAACGAAGGGTTTTTTTTGCAATCATTCGTTGCAATCCTTTGTTCGAGATTTTTTTGTTGTTGTTGTTTTTTTTTGCAATCCTTCGTTCAAGGGTTTTTTTGCAATCCTTCGCTCCCCCCCCAGACCAGATCTTTGCTGCTTTTTGTGGCTGCTTTTGGCTACTGGTCAGGCCCTCCCATTCAGTCTGCTTGCGCGACTGGTCGAAGCAGATCGACTAAGCATTGGCCCAGAAAGCCCCCCCCCCCTCCCCCATCCTTCGGCCAAATGTCGAACACACATTATGAAAACGCCTACTGCGCTATCCCCCCCTGGGGAGGACCTTTGAGGCGCCTGTGATGTCTCCGCCCCCACCTTTGCTCCCCAGAAGTTCTCGTGGGGGGCCGCTGCAGCCTTTGGAGACCTGTAGCGCCTCCCTCAGGCGCTTGAGCTTCGAAACGCACCGCCGGCTTCCATTCGAGGGAGCAGCCGCGAAAGCGCTGAAGTCATGGATGGCACAGCGTTCCCTAGCTCTGCGCTTGTGCTCGGAGGCCTCTTGCTGGAGCACGCCCCGCGTGCCGCACTCCCTCGTCGGTCGCCGCCGGCCTCTGGCGTGGGGTGCTTCCTCGCCCGTCGCGCCCCTCCAGCACGCTGCGAGGCCACAGGTGCTCGGGGGGTGGGCGATGCGGCGCGCCGTGGAGGCCGCTTCTCTCCGCGCGACGTCGCCAGCGCATCGCCGACGCCACCGATGCATCGGCGATATGCGTCGGTGATGCGGCGCGACCCTCCGACCCCACTGAGTCGGGCCTTGGGAGGCCTCCAGGCCCCCTCTGGCAGTGTGTGCAGCACTCTTCCCTCGCTCGCCAGCGCGTGGGGCCCTGGGCACTTCCCGCCATTCGCGTTCCGCACTGCACGTGCGTGCCGGCATTCTTTCGTCGGCATTCCTTCGCCCTTTTTTCCTC